CCAGCTCCCCACCCCCTTCCCAGCCAGGGCAGCTCCCTGCCCCACCCTGGCCAGGAGAACTCCCCCCAGCTCCCTGCCCTCCCAGTTAACACAGCTCCCAGCACCCCCCTCCTAGTGTAGGGCAGCTCCGAATCTGGAGCTCCCTGGCTTCCAGCACCCCCCGTCCGAGAGGGCAGGTCTCAGCCCCAGCCCCAACTGCAGTGCAGGGCAGCTCCCAGGCCTCCAGCCACACCTTCCCCTGCAGCTGGGTACAATGCTGGCCCAAGTTTGACCAGTCCCCTGGCCAGGGCACGAGGGACAGGAGAGCAGCCCAGCTTCCTGATCCCATGGGGCAGAACTCTGCCTGCAGAGCAGAGACCCCTGAATCCCAGATCCAGGGTCTGTTTGTTCATTGCAACAGTCACTCTCACATGGCAGCCAGACGCTGCTCCAAAAAGGGAATAAGTTATCGGCCCATGGGCTGAGGGTGGAATGGAAGCCGCGCCTTGCCAGGAACACAGGGTGTCTGGCCAGCCTACTGGCACCTGGATGACAGACTCCAATGGCTCCATGATGCTCTCCAGTGGGTGTGAGTGCACGGTACGCACAGACAGCGCAAGGTGGGGGCAGAGCAGTGGGGACATAGCCATGGCAGCAGCAGGTCCTTCATGAGCAAGATGGCGGCCAGGTCTGCTTTTGCCCCCCACGCCAGGTGAACCTGAGTGTACGTCTACTGTCACAATGAGACAGGTAATGCTAGTATGAATAAAACAGGCATGATAAAATTCCTTGCTTGCTTACACCAGTGTAAATCTATAGTAACTCAGCTCACATCAAATGAGTTATTTTGGATTAATACTGCTGTACATTAAAATAAAAATTGACTCAGGTATAAGGGATATCACAAAGGTATCAGCAGGCTCATGCCATGTAAATGCCCATGTACCAAAAGAAAGGTAATACTGCTAATCTAATTAGAAACCCACCAGTTTTAATTATCTACTTTTAACTTGAAATAGAGGGAAAATCTAGATTTATGTCATCCCAGACATAGGTGTGGGATGTGCTGGAGAAATATTTCTTCCTGTCTTGCTCTTCAAATCTAAAGATAATATGCTCGGACTTGAAGTATGTGAATCATTATCTGAGTGCTGAATTTTCAGTGTATTTATACTGCATGAGTCATCATTCATTTCTATTGAGCAATTGTGTACTGAGTCACACGTTTAGTTCACCAGAGATTTCATGGCCTATATTCTAGCACAAAGATTAGACAAGTAGAAACTCAATTGGCATAATTAGTGTCAAGAACAATAAGTGTAAATGCATTTTGGATACTAATTGCACAAAGAAAGATTGGTCAGGTTTGAAATATCTTTGAAAACAGCTTGAAAAGAATTATTTCCCTAGTTCTTAGGTAAGGAGAAAAATCAACATGCGATTAAACAATATTAAGGGCTGTGAACTGGTCAGCTGTGAACTAGATGTCCTTTGCTGTGCTTTTTCAGTAGCATAACTCATTTTGGAGCACTCTAGTCACGGAGAAAGCTGCCAGATGGTTCAGGGTAAAATTGGAGGAAATCATGACCACACACCATTGAGGATGCGGGAGAATTCATTGTCTTTGAGCACTTAAAGCACAACAGCTTTTAAGAGATGTGTGGATTTCCCCATTCAACATACTGCTGTGTTCATTGTTCAGTTTATTGTTGACAGTTTTGTTAACGACTTTACTTCTGACTATGTTGGAAGAAATAGCTAACTAATGAGTTTTCCACTCTGGTTGTTTATCATAGACACTAGAGAGGGACCTGTGGTAAGTGTTCAATGGACCACATTTTGGGACCCACTATCTTAAGCGACAGTGCATAAGCTGTTTACAAAAGACAGTTTTCCCTCCCATCAACCAACCGCAGCAGAATTTTGTGTGCAAAAGTACATTCAAAGCTCTCTGTGAAATCAGTATGAACACTCTCCATGCATCTTAGAGTATTTTCATATTACATCATGTTTGTACATGAGCATGTTAGAATGATTTACAAAAGTATGCAGCCCCCAGAATAATTCAGGGAGTGGGCATTTGATCACACATGGATGCCCATGAATAGGATAATTAAGGCAAAACTGTTCTGCTAAATCAAACCCCTAGTTACGTTCAAGACAGATGAAACTTTAGATAATTTGGGAGTAGGTATTTATTTCCCACAAATATTTTTCATTCCATTTTGTGCGTTATGAAGAGAAAGGCGCTTGAGCCAAACCAGGAATCCAAATATCCCTAAACTTCAGAAAAGTTCAGATCCCAGCTCTAAAACAAATGGACTGAAACAACTGCTCAGGGCCTGTTTTCTGTCTGGAAAATATTAGCTAATTTCAGTGGAAGTTACTTGTATCCTCTGGGAAAGAGAATGAGGCTCTAAGTTGCCCTGAAATTTGAGAAAGTTGACCCACTGTTGTAGTTCAGGTCCATTTTTAATTATCGAGATGGAATGATGATGATATTGAAAATCGATCTGATTTCAGCATACCAGGGTGTGTTACCATTAAAACAGCTACACTGGAGGATGAAATACAACCAGCTCTGGAGATTCACAGAAAGATCCACAACATCCTCTTAGGCCACGTCTTTACTTCCTGTGGCAGAGATCAATCTTTTGGCATTCAGTTTAGTGGGTCTAGTTAAGACTTGCTAAATCAAATGCTGCGAGCAGCTCTGGTTGGCACTGCCTTCTGTGAAAACAGTGCCAAGCTCAGCTTAAGGTAAGTTGACTCCAGTTATGTATTTTATATAGCTGGATTTGCATACCTTAATTCGACCTTCCAGGTCTAGTGTAGACCTGGCCTTCGATTCACCTTAGGGATGTGGGGAATGGAATAATGCTGGAGATTCTTGTAGCCCTCAGACACTACTGAAGTGGTTTCTTCATTAGTCCCAGGGTATGTCTACACTAAATCCAGGGTATGTCTACACTAGCTCCCTAGTTCGAACTAGGGAGGCTAATGTAGGCATTTGAAGTTGCAAATGAAGCCCTGGACTTAAATATCCTGGGCTTTATTTGCATCTTCCCGTCCGGGAGCCATTTTTAAATCCCCTTAGTCTGAACTAACTGCCCGCAGCTACACGCGGCAGTCAAATGTTAACTCGAACTAAGTCCTTAGTTCGAGTTAACTGTTACACCTCATGGAACTAGGGGGCTAGTGTAGACATACCCAGTGAATAAAGAGGCTTTATAGTTAGGCCTGGGCAGGGACCACAGGACTGATCCCTCAATGTATCTAGTGTCCAAATCTACTTTATAGAGTACATGAAATGGCAGTGGACATTATTCTAATCTATAGGCCAGAAGAGCATTGTAGTCCTCCAGCTTTCCAAAGGTTGGGGGCCAGTTGGCTCTGGATTCAAAACACGCGCCCTTTGTGTGAGATGGGGAAAATCACACCCTCAGAGCCCAATTCATTGGGCTTCTTCAGAGAATTTATGTCATTTTTTGAGTGTGTTAATAGAGTAAATAATTGCTGATTGCCAACAAATAGAAATTTCAATTAAGAAATTAGCTTCTGGAAATGTTTTATAAC